TTTTCACTCCGTTCGTACGCCTTCATTTCCTTTTTCAACATTTTATTTTCCCTTTTATACTCCACCCTGTCATGGCCAACATCACGCCAACTCGTTTGCCCACCAGTGGCCAACTGTAAGCCGGTTTACCCTCAAAGGATTTGTCGAGGCACCTCTGTTACATTGACGGGAAAAATCGCTTTTCCCCGAAAATGTTTTCACAGACGACAACTTGCGATTTATTGCGTCCACTTACATGATTGGTACATTTTTCGGCCAAGTCTAGCTATTTTCTATAGAATTTTTCACGTGGAAAAATGGAAAAATAAATAATAAACGATGAAGGTCCAAAGCATTTTCCAATTTTCACAAAAGCCTTTCCGGGTTCACCGGATTTACCGGAAATTCCGTACTACTGCTGATTTTTTTTTCAGAGCCATTATTTGATTTATTATTTAAATAGTTAATCGAAGGTAATTATGTGGAATAAAAAGTTTGTGATGCGTTGAATAATTAATGAGGAGGGGATTCTCTTGAGACTCGCGCAATTTTAATTAGCAGTGATATTTTTCGGTTGGAGACGATTCGTTAACGTCTACCCTTGTCATTTTCTCACTTGTTCATATTTAGTGAGGTACTTGGTTTTATTTTATTTGTAAGCTCGAAAGAGGGATGAGGACAAGGGGAATACAGAGGCGTCCGACAGCTCCAATTTCTGGGAGCAATCGGCGAGTTTCCCAAGATGAGAGGGCGCCTAAAATCCCACGGAGTTTTCCGGTCCAGTTGAAGGGGTTAAGACCCAGAAATAGGTCGATGATGGAATTCGCGAGGGTATGAGGAATTCATTTTACCGGAATGGAAGTAACGAGAGGTACTCTGAAGTAGTTCCGACGGTTGATTTTTCTCGATTGAAATTTCTTTTTACCGGTAATTGTAATAGCCTTTTCTCGCATTTCAGGGTAATACAGCTCTGAATGAAATTCACAGTTCTCAAAGTTAAAGTTCCGACACTTCAAGAGTATTTGAGGCTTGTCCCAACAACGCAATCAAATTATTTCAAGTCAATTAAAAAAATTTCACTGAAAACCATTAAATAAAATGATTCGACAAATAATTTTAATAATGTTTACAATTAGCCCTGCTGGAGGATGTAATAATTCAAAGTTTTTTACACTTATAAAACATTAAAAGGGTCATTTGATCTCATCTCATTATTTGAATTAAACAAGTCGTTAAGCATCGTTCACTCCCGGAAGGTTTTAAGACCTCTGAATGTTCCCCATCACCTGGGAATGTCCGACCTCCATTCATCGAAACCCCGTGAACTAGCAGATGAATTCCCTGAAAAGTTCCCCTCACGCTTCCTTCTCTTCCGAAAAAAAAAGAAGCGGTACGTGATGTATCCCTGTAAAAATGTCCCCTCGATCCCCAGCAGGCTAGAGCACTCTTTCCGATTCTAGCGCACTCGAGACAGTTTAGGTTCACTTCGCCAGGTCCTTTAAACACCCTCGATGTCTCGAAACGCGTGTGTTCGCTCCCAGTCTTACCCCACACCCTCTCCACGTCTTTTTTTTTCTCTTAACACTCGTACAATAGAAAGAAAGAGCGACGCACAATCGACCCGCAGTGATTGAGGCATTCGGGGCGTTCCAACACTTGCGCACGTTGAAATTCTCACGCTCCAACGGGCTTCATCGTGACGACACATACGCCCATACAATAATAACACAGACAAATCCGAGAACACATTAGGAGTGGTAGGAATTTTTATTCTAATTTAATTCAATCCACGAGAAATTATCTCCCGTCAGGAGTAATCAAGAAAATTTATTTTCCTTGCCGCGTATAAATTCCAATTAATCATAATTTATTTCGAATATTTAATTAATTAATGAATAAATTAGTGGTCAGCCAGTCTTGATTGACACTGAGGGGACAAAAAATTAATTATGCAATTCCTTAATTTTAATTAGTAACTGATAACGCAATCATGAATAATTTTTTTTTAAGCAGCATGAAACGCGAATAAATTTCTTATGACCAATTAATTTGTCATTTTTTAACGAATGCTGGATAAATATTGATTCAAATTAAGAAAAATGATTCGTCAAAATAGTCGAGGAATTTTCCTGGGGCCAGATACATTATTGAATGGAGGAATGAAAAAAGAGACGTGCCTCATTGTTGTTGTACTCAGTGGATCTTTTTCTCTGCTTTTTCAACCGACATTTTCTCCTCCTTTTTATCCCACCACGAACTTCTCATTTTTTTTTGTTGTTCTTTCTGTTCTCCCGGTGTTTCTTCTCGCGTCACTTTGAGAGTTTTCCATAGCGAAATTTTCTCTCCGTGATACAATGGGGTTTCCCGTGTGTCTCAGGCGTATAGATGCCAGTGGATTTCGCCTCATTCTTTTTTTTTTGCACCAGAGGTGAGGGAAAATGACAATGTCACTCTGTGGAACTAGCTTGCCAATGTGAGTCTTCATTTTCGGTCATTATATTACAGTTGGAGTGGGCGGAGGAATGAGTTCAGAATTATTCATTTAAAAGTTCCCCGAATTCACGAGAAAGAGAGAATATACTAGCGCAAGAACATTCACCAACAATCCAAACCTAGATAATTAGTTTGTGAATTACTTCCAAACTATTTGAATTTGTTATAAATATAGCACGAATAAATACTGCACGATTAAAATTCTATACGAGACAGATAAAAATATTTCAATAAGCTCTATTTGAAGATATAGCGATGAAAAAATAGCAACGAATTTCCACCCCAGGTCTTCCATATAAAACGTCTTATTCTCCCTCCCCTCGCAATTTTCCCTCATCTTATTAAACGGTAAATTCTCGTTATCACGGTAAACCGTAAGCGCTGGTGAATATTGGATATAGGCTATATCGCGAGATTCGCATTTTCCTCACAATTTCCTTCGATCTTTTCTTTTGAATTTTTCCGTTCCCCGTTCTCGTGCTTTTGGAGTGAAAACATTGAGCGACAGTAATTCTCAAGACTGTAACTCGTCCACTCCATCAACGGCCTCAAAGTCAATGTGCATTAGGGCCCCTTTTTTTTTGTGTCGTTGATTTTAATCGGAAAGAGATGATTAGATATCGGACTGGTAGTTGAGCAGTGGTCAAAGCAAGTTCGATGTGATCATTAGAGTAGTTTACGTACCCTCGTTACGGTCAAAGGATAAATTTGGTGGGCGATGTGGGAGGGCTGGGACGATAGACAGTATCTACGGGTGTATCGAACTCGTATGCGCGAGAGGATAATTCAATTAAACTGGACCCTCGTTCATGAATCTATTGGGGTCTCCATTGGGGATAACTTTTGATTTTCCAATTTTTGGCAGACTACCATTAATTCTGCCGATGCATCAGCAATGGGAATTCATTCTCACTGTTAAATATAGAGTTCCATTTTTTTTTCCATTTTTAATCACGAGAACCCCTGCTACGATATAACTTTATTATTATTACTTTTATTAATAATGGAAAGGTTTTCCATCACTGCTTCTTAATTCATAATTCATTATCAGTAATTGTCATATTTTTTTTTTGTTTCAGGTAAGTGGCCGAATTACTTTCACTTGAGGAATTGAAAATTTCACTGGAAAATCTTGGTAACAATTTTAGTGATTTCTGTTATCCAACTTACGGTCTGAATTTTTAATTAATTATATTCTCATAAAATGCGAGAATGTGGATGAAAGTCGTTTTGATGAATTCAAATAAATGGTGGGTCCAATGTGGAGTTGGGGGGCTTAGATAATACCTTAAAAGCCGTCGTCGATATTCTAGACATGCCATCCGATTTCTTAATAACTCTATTCACCTCTCTCGGGGTAGAAGCGGGAGATATCTCTCCCTTTTATCTGTACAAGTGCTCCTCCCAGCTCCACCGAAATGAAACAAGTCAAAAATTCAAGGCACTCCGGGAACTCTCCACATGCCACAGATAGTAGGATTATTACATTCGTGTATAACAGCTTTGAAACCCCAGGGGTATCATGTTTGTCGGTAGGTAACGTCTCGTGTTTTCTCTGCGTTATACAATCGATTCTGATAAAAATGATATTTATTTGATTTCGGTAGATACCGATGAATTTTTAACGAATCGAAACAGCAGGAAAATAAAAATTCAATTTCAATCAAAAACGATCACTAAATTTTTCGTTAAACTAAAAATTCATTTTTCATTGAATTAAAAATCTCGGGAAACATAAATAAAATAAATTTTCAAAGAATTAACCGTAAAGCGTGGAATTGCATAATCTATTTAGCACACGACAAAGAGGAATTAAAATTCTTCCCGTATTTTTGTTCTATTTCATAAACATGAAACGTCATGAACGAAAGGTCTCGGATTACTGTGTGGCTGCGGCTTTTCGAAAGAAAATAAATTAAAAAAAAAACTCGTCAAAGGTGGTCCAGTCATAATAACCGCACCACCGAATAAGACACCGAAGGCTGAACTACAGTCATACTTTATTCACACATTATATTTACGAGCGCAAATCACGCGGGAGCAATTTCCTCCAGTAGTGGATATATATCATGTGAGGTTTGTGTCGTTTGGCCGGGGCCTAATTTAATACCTCACGTAATACACGTCCGGCTCATCGAGCTGCTACTGCAATTCCTCTATAACGCACTGTGGTTTAATCGTCCGCAAATGCAGTTGGAAACTGTGTCGATTTACCGGGCTTTAATCCCTCGGCGACATCTAGATCGCCGTTTATCCTTCAGTTGCGGCGCCACAATATGGACATAAAAATTATGGGGAATTAAGGATCAGATGTTTGTTTTTTCAAAAGAAGTTGTCAATTGGAAATAAAAATAAAACGATGATTTAAATCTCGTAATTACAGTCTTTCTACATGATTGAACACTTGGAAATATCTTGAAATATCCGTTACAAAGTCATCTGAATTTTTAATGAACTAAGTTTGAATTAAATTTCAATTAAAAACCGTCAACTGGGGGTTGTTAAAAATTTTTTCAACTTGAACAAATTTTTTCAACTTGAAATTTCAAGGGTGATGAGATGTCAGTATTTTCCATTTTTGAAGTGAAAATGAAATCGACTAGAGGTGAAACGAAATTATTCATGGCCTCTCACAATGAGAAAAAAAAATTCTAGCAGAGGGACGAAGAGAATCCAGAATGCGAGACATCAGTCGTAATTTTGAAGCTGAAAAGCCTCGGACAATCCTCTTGCGGTTTTGCCTGTAAACAAATTAAACTGCTTACCCACCTGCGAAGTACATACGACATTTCTCCACCCTCTCGACGACGGAAAGTATTTTCTCACGGGACTGAGTACGAGACCGGTTGGAAAGGCCTCGAGATTTTACCTCATCCCCATTGTCTCCAATTCGATGGTTTTGTCCTTCTTTCCACCGAGGATCCACCGCTAATTTCCTGGCGCCTTGGGGAGCCCTGACGACGTACACCACCGACGAGACAAGTCTCCTCTTTGTCTCACTCAAATACAGAATAAAGAGAACAAGAGACACAAGGATTGAGTGGAGAGAGAAGGGAAGAAAGGTAATCAAACTCGGTGCGCAGCAACAGCTATTAATTTCTTGCGTCTCCGACGTTTTTCGGGAATACGTTCAAAGAGATAGGGAACACCGGAAATCGTGGCAAGTCTCGAGTGGGGGATTAAAAGAGAATTCCTTGGGTGGAAAGACGAGCGTGAAAGAGAATGCATCTGAAATAATTATCGAGCTCTGAATTTTCCAGGGAATAATTTACCTCTGGGACGAATTAAATTATATGTGGTAATAACGAGATGATGGGAGTAATTAATATGGAAACGCTAAGGGCTCAGGACAAAACGTGAAAATGGACAGTAATCGAGTGATAATCGAGTAATGCTGATAATCGTAATATTTCGCGTTTTTGTGTAAAAAAAATTAAGCGGAAATGTTAATTTATTAAATTTACAGAATTCATTGACTTATTGGGTATTTGTGGAAGACGAGAATTCGGAGAAAATATCAAAAGATTTCACTTAGTGATAATGGGTTCCTCGATATCGACTCCTGGATTATGTAAATATATAAATGTTTTTATGCCGCAAAGCACATGATAGGAATTTCAATAATGTTATTATAATTTCTTGTATTTTATTCGGTGAGGATGTTCTGCAGGTCGTATATTAATATTATATTTTAAACTTTAAAGCAATTCTCGTTTTCGGAATGTTCTCCGATAAATTATACTCCATTCATAGTTAGAAGAATTGCTTTTACTTCAAGGTTTTTTCCCCAGATTAGGGAATATCCGGCTTAGATACCGTTTGACCTTTTCCTCTAAAAGCCCTCGCTATCTGAAAAATTTAGACTCTTACCTTCTGTTCAGTAGCGCAGTAAACGTTTTGAGTAAATTCTCTTCAATAATCAGCTGGAAGGAAAGACGAATCAGAAAAAAGATTTCACAAAAATTCCGAGAGAATATCTCTATATATCCGGATTTACCTAATTTCCCTTGAATATTCATGTGTCCCTTGAAATTAAAAACAACACAAAAAATTTAATCTTCCAGTTCCTAAAAGATTGGAAATATTTTAATTTTTTGGTTTTAATCTGAATTTCCAATAGCCTGGTAAAAGTTATTTCATGATATTTTTACTCAGAATAATCCCCCAATCGATCATCTTCACATAAATCACCCCAAAAACAAGATCATCCTGTCCCCTAGCCGGAAATGCTGAAATATTGTGAGAGGGATAACACTGACGCGGGTCGATTGTCCCCGATTTTTTGGGTGAATCCTGAAAATAGCGAAAAGAAGGGCGTCTTTATCAGTTCAGTTCATTGCTTCCGTTCTAATGATCGGCCCAGTAATTCATCGGCGATAATGAGGGGTAAGTATGGCCGAATAGAAAAGAATCGATGAGATCTGCTTTTCCGGGGTATTGAGTTCACCGAGGCGAGGGAAAAAGTCATTGGAATTGTGCGCCAGTTAATAAAAGAATTCACTTTTCCTGAAGGAGTGAAACCAGGAGTTTTCGCGGCAAGGAAGGAAGGGAAACTATGAGGAAATCCCCTCGGAGGGGATGGTGGGTATAATAAAACCTATCGAGGGCTCATTCGTAGTTGAGTAAGCTGGAATCAAGACCCCGCAAAGAGCGATCGGTGCTCGCAATGCCGTTATAAGCCGAAAACAATGAGAGTCTCGTGGCTCTTGTCGTTCATCTCGATTCACTCATTGGTTAGAGGGATGAGGGGCCAACGGAGAGGGGATAGATGTATATAATGGTAGAACATCATCTGAATGAGGGTTTTTGAGCGATCCCACTCGTTCAACAATTATCTCGCCCCTAGTTGTTGATATCCATTTAACCGCATCTACGGGACTAGAATCAATCCCCGTGAATGATTAAAATTTATACACTCGAAAACACGTGGATATTACCATCGCCCTTTGTCTCCTTTCAGTTATCGCTCATGTTTTTCAGATGAGTGTTTGCTAACCTTTTTGATTCTTACTCATTGTTTAAGAGAAGGAGGCATTGTCATATCGCTCGTGAAATCGACAAAGGGAATTTTGCGCACTGCTCTGATGTCGGTGAGCTTTTTTTGGGGGACGGGGGAGATTAAAGGGCTCAGTCAGACACAGATATTCCGGTATTTGGCAGTATTTTACTGAGGTTATGCTCTTAAAAATTTCGGGAATTTTTGATTATGGGAGTTTGAATTTGAATTCAATAAATTGGAAATTTTGTCGAATGGAAGGGTGCGAACATTCAGCCCATTTCCGTTGAATTGAAAGATATCGTCTCAAAGTTTCAGTGGATTAAATTCTGAAGGGCTTACCTCAGTCACTTTTCAGTACGACTATCGATACAATAATTAATTTGCGCAGCTGTATGTTGTAGAAGTATAAAGAATTTTCGGAGTCTCGACGTTGACGTCCGTGAGTGAGACTCTCGACTGACGTTTTCCATGGAATCATGTCGATTATATAGATTTCTCGCAAGTGTTTTCAGATAAGAACACCAGATTGTGGGTCTTGGGACAAATATTGACTCTTTGATTATTTTACGCAAAGCAAATAAATTCAATAACATCCATAGCTGACACAATACGAGAACTAATTCAAAACACTCCGTAGAGAATTTTGTATGGATATAAAACGTCAATAGACTAGTCAATGAAAAATATTTTGAGAAAATATTTGAGGAAGAGCGGGATGAAACATTTTTTTGACTTAGCTACCTTTTGAAAATTCTCCATATGTTTTTTTAAGACATTCTTTAGAGTATATTGATTTGATTAATGAATTATTCACTTCTCCGAACCTCTGAATAGGGGGATAATTAAAATAACAATGATGCACGCATTAAAAAATTCCGTGCAACACGTATTCAAGCTCAGGTGATCTGCTCTCCCAATCATTTATTTTTCCCATATCATTAAATACGTCAATACGTGACCTAAACAGAAATGAAAAATGCATTTTTTTCAGATATCAACTGGGGATGTTGCGTAAGAAAATTTCAGGAATGTGATTGCAAATTTTGTTTGCGTTCCGTGTCACGATTTCGTCTATCTGTGTTGACAATTCAACTGCCCACATAAATTCCTTCGATTTTTTAGTAAAACAATGAAAAGATAGTTCTAGTTTATTATTAAAAATATGTGCGATGCGCATATATATAATGGACCTCATTCGATGGAGAACTTACAGTCAATTTCGAAGCAGTATCAATTGAAGGCTACCAGAATTCTTTATAATTTTACATTATGAATCTGTCCAAATTGGTCATTGTGTTGTTTGCTATATTTGCCGCTCTTGGCTTGGTCCAGGCGTTTCCAAAAAGTGGTGGGGGTAAGTCAACCCTTTCTGATTTAATCTATCAGAGTTCTAAGAAAAAATCAATCAATATCTGAAATAATCAATAAAAATTACGAAACTCAAGTTCATTTACCGATATCGCAATTCTTCACTGTAAATTTCTCACAATCACACAAAAAGTCCATTTTTTCGGAATAAAGCTAATTTTATTTTTGATCAGTCACTTTATTTTTGATGAATAGTTTTCTTTTCTCGACAATCAATTCTTCATATTACTCTATTCATTCGGCAGGAAGAAGAACTGTAACTCGGCCGCCTACCAAGAATCCACCAAAGCCGCAATGTACAGATAACCCCAACAATACATCCAAAAGAGTTCCATTGTGCCCACACTTGAAGAAGCAGATCAGTGGATATTACCTAATACAGTAGTTAAATAGTATCTACTGACTCGAACGGTGACAGTTGTCCCTGATGGAAGGATTAGGTTAATATCAGTCTCGGTTCATATCAATCAGAAAATTCAATAAAATAAAATATCATTAAAATCAACTAACAGTCGAATCAAATATTATGTTTTGTTCACAACTAAATGCCTCGTTTCGATCAACGAATCAAAAAGAAATGCTCTACCGAATATATTAGACTCATATAACCTGACCCTTCTATCACCTGACCCATAACTGGAGATGTCATACGATAAAAGGATAAACAAAGGTATAAGACCTTACGGAAAACAACATTTGCGCGAACGTCAATGAATTCTCCCTAATTCTCTCAACATATATTTAATTACTAATTTTAATTACTCACTGATTGATAATGTGATTACATTAGATTAAATTCCATAACGATGGGGTAAATTTTGTCAATGATTTAACAGCGATGTGATAGCCACGTGGGTGGTGTGTGATTCCAGCGGGCATTCAAGCTAAGTAACATTTAGTCGGGTTACTAGTTAGATGATGTGTCCGCTTAGTACACCTGAAGACTGCCGGCGTCAGGCAGTCTTCAAATGTAGGGAACTAATGTCTTCATCGAATCAGTGTGACTGATGAACACAGCAGAATTCCTGCATTACCAGCCAGCTGCATGACTGAGGTTTTCCATGGTTTCCCTCGGTACAAGCCAAATGGGTGCAGTTAGGGAAAAAGTCGGCCCATGGTACCGCAAAAACAGAAGAGAATATTCGAACAGGCTTAAGGCTATTGAACCCGTTATGGTAGTCGGAAAAGAAAATATATCGTAAAAAAAATGAATAAATAAAGAATTAACAAAAGTAGAAGTTTTCTGTTACATTTTTTTACTCCCACGATGTGATATAAAGAATTCCGATGATAAAATGCTGCGCAAAAAAGGGTTTTCAGATAAAAACTTAAGGTCGTCGGGCTTAAGGCAAATAAATATTTTTTTTATTATTTCACCCAAAGTAGATAGATTCACTACTATCCACAGCTGATGTGATATCAACTCGGATTGAAAACATTCCGTACATATGAGTTCATATTGATATGAAATGTAAACAGAATAGTCCGTGAAAAATATTTGAATTCAGAGCGTGATAAAATGTTTTTTTTCATTTACGTATCTTTTTGAATTTAGTATACATTTTTTATCTTCTGTGGAATTTCATGACTCAATTAATTATTCACAGTTGAGTGTCTCAATTTACGATCCAGGTGAGCCATTGGGAAATGGCCCAAGGTATTTTCTAGATTTTTTTCACTGCCCGAATTTATTCTGATAATATACAAAATTCTTCCAAAAACTTTCCATGTTTTTGAGGTATAAACTAAATGGAAAGTAAAACACTAAATGCTATCTTCGAATTTTCTCAACCTCTCATTAAGGAGATAATTGAAATAATGATAATGCACGCATTAAAAAATTCCACGGAACACGTGTATTCGAATTCAGGTGACCTTACTTTACCAATTATTTATTTTCCTTATATCTTAAAAAACACTGTTTTGATATTCAATTCGGTAGTAGTTATACGTGATCTGAATTTCCAATAGGAACGAAAAATGCGTCTTTTTCAGGAACCCTTTCGCGACGTTGAGGAAAAAAATTTCAGCAAGACAATTTCAAAGATACAAGCAATTACGCATTTTATTTCAATTCTGTGGATTAACTATTTTTGGGTTGTCCTTGATTGAACGACGGAATAGATGTTATTTACGTCTATGTCATGATTTTGACGATCTGTGTACATACAGTCCCTTGAATTTTTCGTAAGACAATTAACAGATAACCTTGGGTTATTATTGAAAACACTTGCGGGACTCATATATATACCGGGCCTCATTCGATGGAGGAATCAGTCACTTTCGAAACACTGTTACCAGAAGATCACCAGAATTCTTCGTAATTTTACACTATGAAGCTGTCCAAGTTGGTCATTATATTGTTTGCTATATTTGCCGCTCTTGGCTTGGCCCAAGCATTTCCGAAAGGTGGTGGAGGTAAGTCAATCCTTTCTGATTTAATCTATCAGAGTTCTAAGACAAAATCAGTCATGTCTGAAATAATCAATAAAAATTACAAAACTCAAGTTCATTTACCGATATCGCAATGCTTCACTGTAAATTTCTCACAGTCATACAAAAAGTCAATTTTTTTCGGAATACAACTCATTTTGTTTTTAACCAGTCACTTTATTTTTGATGAATAGTGTACTTTTCTCGAAAATCAGTTTTTCACATTACTCTATACATTCGGCAGGAAGAAGAAAAATAGATCGACCAACTCGTCATCCACCAACTCCAGGAAAATGTACAAATAACCCCAACAATACATCCAAAAATCATCCATTGTGCCCATAACTGGAGAAGTCATACGATAAAAATATAACCAGAGATGGAAGAACTAATTGAAAACAACACTCGTGAGGGAGTCAATGAATTATCCCAAATTTTTCAAACACTTCATTATGTCAATCACATTATTTTAAATTGCACAACCGAACGGTTAAATTGTGTCAAATAATAAAGAATGAGCAAAAGTACAAATTTTTCTTTTACATCTTTTGATTTCTCAACGCATTCAATCATTCTAGGATTTAAATTTTTGTGAAACATTAAAAAAAAAATATGACGCTCCATTCATGGGGGAGTAGAGGAAACGGGTAATTCGTTAATACAAAAAATCGCGGGATGAGAAATCTGTGTTTTTTTCAAAGGATTTGACATGCACGGGGCCACAAATCAGTCACTCCGTCGGGTTGCTGTATACATCTGAAAAGTGGCAGAACGGTGGAACCTGGCGGAATTCGCGACCCCCGTGATTTGATCCCCAGTGTGCCACGAAAACTGAGAGTCACGGATTGCTCCGTGTTCCTCACGCTCCGATGGGCTTCAGCCTCTGCTCCGTCGATCCCCAAAAATTTCAACCCTCTCTCGCTTCTTTCATCCATTCATTCACCATCACTCCCCTTTACTCCCGCTTATTGCCCTATGGTGTATACGCAGCCTCACTTCCGGCGGGGTTATATATCTCTGTACTCCCCGTTTTTCTATTACATCTTCTGGCAAACCAAAAAGCACCGAGTAACCCCGCCATTTTTTACTCACCATAACAACAGAATAGATTGACCTGGGATTGCTTCATCAGCTGCTTACAATCAATCTTCCCATAATGCGATAAAAATTCCCAAAAACGAGGGAAATTTTCCGCAAAAATCGTTGGTCATTAATTTTTAATCGTTAATTTCTTATTGTAATAAGTTGTAATAAGTCACTATTTTTCTGTGAAATTTCAATTGTCCAATTATAATTACGTCACAATTTCGAATTTTTTTTAGTGATGAACTTGGAAAATTCTTCAATATATCAGATTTACTCTCTCAAATTGGATTCAATCAGATGAATTGTTCCGTATTTATTGCAATCATAATTCCACCATTCATACTGAAAATAATTGGGAAAAATAATATTTGAAAAATATTGCCCTTGCGGTGGGAACAATCGGAACGGAATTCCAACCGATTCATTGTTCAATCGAGTCTGTATGACGCAGAGTAATGCATTACTTGATGTTAACATAAATATTTTCCTCTGGATTACGTGGAAAAAAAATAACGAGGTCGTAGAACTGCCTGGAAAAGAGGGTTTAGCCTTTCTTT